TCTTTGAGATGTGTGGTGTGCCAGGCCGTGCGTGATCCATGTCTACTCCGATCAGCCCTGGCCTCAACGTTGAAATGTCGGTGCGGAAAAACCGGTTTCGGGTTCATAGGAGCCAAGGGTGTTCCTCTAGGTCAAAGGAATGCTCAGGAGAAGCCCCCCAAACAGGCCCCCACTATCCCCCACTACCAGGACCCTTTCGGCGCCGTTGTTTGTTTTTCCCCCAGGGGCCAGCCCCCGGGCACAGACTCACCTTCGGGAGACAGTCAACTTGCTGGCTCTCAGGGAAGGGAATGACTCCTACAAACCATCCCCTATGCTTTCCTGTTAAGGGAATCCCTTTCCGGTTCATTTCCACCCGGACTCGGTCATTCCCTACCTATCGCACCTGAAGGGGTGAACGTGGAGACCAGATATGCTTCTCTTCCAGCCATTTTTTCCTGAGTGTCACTTACGTCTCGATTTTCGGGATGTTACCGGGAATGCGGTGAGAGAGAGGAATGATGAGCCTCTCATTTCGGTGGCAAGGCGCCACTACTTCGGCCAGTGGATGTTCGACCTTGCTCGGGATGCGGCGGGCTCAGTGAGCAAGCGGGCTTGCCGGACGCTCTTAGAGCCCTTTCACCAACCCAAACCACCACCCAAGCAAATTGCAGAAGATACAAATGCGTAAATGACGGGATCGGTCCGCTTGAGAGAGAAAGCGTGTGTGTGTTTCTCCTTCCTGAGTTGCTGGACTTTATGCTGTTTGGGAAGATCAGTTTGGTAGCGATTCAACAACAAGTTCCGATGTTTTTTGGCCCATCGACTCCATCGGAAGTGAGGTTTTGCCTTTGAGGCCATTGCATTTGTTTGGAAGGGTGGCAATCCCTGAGTCAGGAAACGGGTCGAAAATGCCCATGATGTATCTGGGCTTGCCTTTCAGAGCCGCTTTTCAGTGAACTCTAGCGACCTGGTGGCAAGTTGCTGGGTTTATAGAATCCCACTTTCTGTGATGCCTGTGGGGAATCCCGCAGTGGGGAAGGGACTGTCATTCAGACCAGTCCCTGAGAGATTCAGGTGAAGTTGGCCCACCTGAATGTCTTCACCGCCGACGAGGACCGGCTGAGCTCAACTTGGCAGTTCCCCAGTCCCTGGACTTTTTCGAGGTCCCCCAGCTGCCCATCTCTCCCCTTTTTTAGGGGAGATTCGGTTCCCCTAAAACAGACTGCAGAAGAAAGTTGGTACCCGTATTCTAACCTCTCTGCTGGACCATGTTTTTGGGAAGACCATTTTGGAAGACAAAGTTTGGGCCATCCACTCGATCGGAAGCGAGTCATCAAGCGCCAATGCAAGGCCTTCACTTGGCCCCGAGTCCAGGCCGTGCTGCAGAAGCTGGGGCTTCGACGATACCCGATGTTCATCATCACTCCGGGCGCAGGCGATGGTTTCCGGGGCGGAAGCCGCGGAAATGCGGCGTAAGCCTCACTCATAGTTGAGGATTGCTAGGACTTCACCCAGCACCTGCTTCACAAGCTCTAGAGCTGGTAGATGGATGGTAGATGGGTAAGTCATACGTGTTGAAGCCTGTTGCTCACTGGAATGCCCTCATTATTGAAGGGCGCCCGGCCAAAATCGATGAAATGAGCATGTTTTTGTGTTTCCCCTTCTTGGATGTATAGGGGATCGGTTTTTCCGGCTGGATGTATTTTCTCGTTTTTTCAGGGGGCAAACAAAAACAAATGGAACAAAGCCATTCTCCGGTTCCATGGACAAACGCTGAACAGGTGGCCAGCACCAAGTCTACTTCCCCCACGGCTTCGCTGCTTGGATGAAGTGCTGAGGCCGTGACCTTTGGTTTGTTGCCGGACACCCCGATTTTGGTGGGCGGCTTCCTCGTTTTACCCGTGGTTTTTGTTGGGGCGCCCCTCGTTCTGTTGGCTCAAGTTGGTGGCTTTGGGATTTGAAGCCCTCGCTTCCTCGTTAGAGGGTCCATGGGAACCCACCAACAAGTGTCCGATTTTGTTGTCTGTTGTGGGCAGGGGGCCAAGCAACAGGAAAAGTGCACCGGTTCTTTTTCCAGTTACCCTTATAGAAGGTAAGCAGCAATTATCCTTCTGGTTAAAAGCGTTAAAAGGTTGGTTTGTGGGTTACCTACAAAATCAGGTGAATGGATCCACCGGGTTTAGCCTGAGAGCATGTCCTTGCCGTCTCAGGATTTCTTCCACTTCAGCGATTCAGTGCGTCAGGCACCGCCCGGAAGACTTGAGTCTGCCCTTCTTTGTTTAGAGGAAATGGTCCCTTTCAAAACAGCACCCAAAGGCGCGCCCTTGCTGAGTCGGTAACAGGGTCCCTCCTTTTGGAAAGGTTTGAAAGGGAAACCGACAGGACACCGACCATTTTGAGGGCTCCCTTATTTTGAGAGCCCTAACAAATCCCTTTGACATGCACAGGTGGGCACTTAGGTCCAACCCGCCAGGTGGTTCTCGAAACCGTGCCCTACAGCGCAAAGGTGACACCCTTGTACTCGGAGGCCTGCGTGCCTGGCCTTGGTCGCCTTGAACGAGGTGGTTCGACCAACGGCTACATGCCAAGGGCTTCGCCCAACCGAAGAGCATTTTGGGGCGGCTCGATTTCATGGCCGCATCTTTCATAGCTGCGATTTCAACAGAGCGCATCCCTGCGTCCCAATGATAAACCCCTCGAGGACACACTCCCCCCGCGGGCGGGGGGGGGGGGGGGGAGGGGGGGTTGTTCACACCCCCGCAAATGCCGAATGCCTATTTTACTTGGCCTCCTCTGAAGGGTATACACATGTTTTGATTGTGGCATCTCCTGTCATTCACGACTTCACAGATCAAGAACGTCTCTCCCTCTCTGTCTAGCTAAGACCAGATCAGTTTTACTGATCAGTTTTGCTCGTACCTTCCGAGGCGGTCTGGACACTGAGCTGAAGTCAGATTCGTGACGGATTTTGTCAAGGAATGTTTGCCTTGGTTTTTCTCTGCATGCCCCTCCGAACGGGAGTTGGGAAGCATCGGCAGGGTTTCAGTGCTTGAATGGCGATCGATCGATGGATCATTTGGATTGGGGATGCTGAGCCCTGGTTGCAGGAAAATGGGAAACCACCAACCCGCTAAACCAATCCAACCCCCTGTTTTGCGGGATGGCTGAAGCAGCCCATAGCTGCAAATCCGCAGGCCGCCCTGGACGATTTCCTGCGGCTGCATCCACAGGGCTCTTCCAAGCGGGGCGGCCCAAGCTGCACCGGCACCGGTGGAAGGGAGCTGCCGAAGTGGGAGCGGACTCGGGGCAAGGAGTGCTGGTTGGGGTCATGGCAGTCCTTTAAAAACAACTTGAATGTTGTTGGACCTGGAACCTGTCTCTGTTTGGGAGAAACGAGCAAGATTTTCGCGTTGGCCTGCAACAAGTATTGCAATAGCCATGAATAAGTGACCAAGCCTCTTTTCGGTTTCTCGGTGAACGTGTTCCTTTGCATTCCCTTTACTGGAAGCCAGATTTCTACCCTCATGCCAGGGGGTTTGGAGCAAGACTTGTGGATGATTGGCGAGCTTAAGTGGTTTTTTACCGAGGGTCAGAGTCAAGAGTCAAGACCAAAGCAAACCACAGGCATGGAGGAATGGTTTCTCCTGACCTGTTCCACATGAGGAGGTTCACCAGTTCATTCAATTCTGTTCGGGTAAGGCTTGGCCTCGGTCAATTGGGCCGCAATGAGTTTGTGATAAGCGTAGCCAGCCCAGTGGAAATGGCGAACTCAACCACTTTGAATCGTTGAACAAGACTTGGTTGCTGTTCACCCCTCTGCAAAAAGTTTCATCTAGTGGCTCCAACTCAGGGAAGATCCAAGCTGTTTCGACCAAAAAGTGAAAAAGTCCTTCAAGATCCGGCCAGCCAAACCGCCATAAAGAAGGGCCATGTCAATTTGGCAGGGCTCCGAAAAAAAAGATGCGATTTGTTTGCCGCCATTTGAAACATCTGGCTTTTTCAACACCAGAATAAAGAATTGGAAACCACCATTTACAAGTTGCAATGTTCAGGTACTGTAAGGATCCCTTTTTGGCCCCCGGACCCGCACCTGAGAGCTGGCTGGATCGTTCGGATCGGAGATGATGTCCGAGGCCCCGCGTTGTGGTCATCACAGACGACCCGCGGTGCCCCGGCGCAAGCTGGTAAGGGGTGTTGGGGCCAATTTGTTCATCGGACCTCCCCAAATGGTGGCCACCATTTCGAATCCCCAGAGAAATTGCTCAAAAGCTGCAGTTACCCAGTTGGCCAGTAGTGCCATGTCCGACTTGCGGGCACAGAAGGTTCCAGGAGCTTTGTTCTTAAGCCTACAGCCTTGCCGCCCAGTACGAAACATGCAGGCTCGCTTCGCACTGCCTAGCGCCGCGTTGGCGTGCAGGTCGGCTACCAACACAAAGCCTTCTTGGCGCTCAACTATCCAAAGTGGCTTAGTCCTCCCCCAGTGCTATCCCTGGAAGTAATTTCAACATCCAAATTGAATGGCTGATGCAAAGAAGACCTGCCTGGCAAAGGGAAACAAGTCCAACTATTCACCTCAGTTCCTGAGCTCCCGGATGTTCGATTTCGAGAAAACCAGCTTTGGGCGGTAAACAACAACTGCCGCGCTTTTGACCAGCCCACTCAGGAAATGAGTTACACCTTCCACACGTGTTCACAGATCCGGCCCGTATTTCCAAGGCGGCGGATGATGCAGGCCAGAGCATTGGGATCCCGGGCAAAGGTTTGTTGATCCGCTGGTTGGCTGGGACTTTTAGACTTGAACTGGTTGAACAAATGGATTTTGCAAATTTCTTTGCGAGAATGACCGTGTGAAGTTTAGGAAAGGCAGCGGTGACTCTCTAAAGTCAAGCAAGAGAGCGATACTGTGTGGCAGGGGGCAGCTTTGAGAGCGCTTAGGCTGATGTCCATATCAGTGCTTTGAAGTCCGATTTGCAGGATCTCCTGAGATGCACTTGCACGCTGGAGCATGAGCATATCGCAGTTGTTTGGCTCTCAAGTTGAGTGTTGGGGCCTTTTCCGGATCTTCCCGAGACTTCCAACATGGGAAAGTGTGGATGTTGCACCGCGAAGTGCCAAGCTATCACAGGGCTTTGCAGTGCCCCGCTCAACCTGTTTGTGGTGATCTGGGCCAGCATGGAGAAGGCGAGATGGACGCCGGTGGTTGTACCCATGCAGTGCGAGAATGCGCCACTTCCCGCCACCAGGCTGTCAGCCATCAGCATGCCTTCGCCTCTGGCTGAGGCAATGGGCATGCAGCCAGGGGCGCTGCCGAACGGCCTCTATCTCAACGTGAGCTCCAGCACCTCATGCAGCAACCCCGGGCAGGCAGACATCACCATAGTGGCGTCCGGCTTCGAGACGACGCTCCTGGCCCCAAACCTCACAGATCTCGCCGCAGGCGGACTTGGCAAGCCGTACGGGATCACTGGGAAAATCCGACTGAGCCAGGACCTGGCGCTTCCGAGCACAGGCCAGGCCAACATGGTGACAGTGACTGAAGTGGCACAGACTGTGGAGGAGGTTCTGGCCGGCATGAGCCCGTCATCCATCCAGCAGGGCTATTCTGTAGGCTTCTCACGCAGTGTCCAAGTGGTGAAGACGTGCTCCAGCGTCCTGGGCTTGTCTTCATGCATTGACTCAACGATTGAGCTGTTCTGCGGGAGCTATGCTGGGAGCTGCTTGGCAGAGGTCCTTGATGCCTCAGGGTCCCCTGTGGTTCCGGCCCAGTTTGAGCCTGCCATTTGTGCCTACACCGGGCAGCTTTGCGGCCAAGAGGCGGAGGTGCATGCACAGCTGGACGCGACGGGTCTGGGCATCCAGGTTCTGACTCAGGTTCCATGTGCAGCTTCAACGGGGCTGCCCAACACCACGCTGTGCAATGTCGTGTCAGCCCCGGGTGTTGATTCCACCACCTTTCTTGCCAAGACCATTGAGCCGCCCATGGTCTTCACCACGGAGGAGCAAGCTAGGCAGGCGGAGATGGCCGCAGCCGCCGAGGCGGCGATCAACTGGCTGATTCTGCCGGCGCTCATTCTTAACTCCTTCTTCTTTTTCTCGAACTTGTTCTCAGGCCTCTTCAACCTGCGCAAGCACTTGCGAATGAAGGCGCAAGAGCCAAAAGACGCGCAAGGGGCTCCGACTCCGCCCGCTTTGGCCATAGTTATGGCTGCGGGCGTCATTGATGACCCTTAGTGTGGCGCATGTTGCAATTAATACCAGGAATTCGTTTTTGTTTGGCTTAGCTCTCCAGCCAGGGGAAGCCGGGAAGCTGGAAAGCCAGATGCGGGCCTGTTGTGATCAACATCCTACCCTGCCATGCAGCGATGTTACCAGATCATTGAACACACAAGAACAGATGCGGTGATGCAATGCAAGGAAAGCATGTGACAGCATTTGTGGCCTGGTTGTGAAGTGAGTGGTTGTCATGTTTTGTTTATGGTTGTGCTTGCCATCGTTTGCAGCAGGGAGCAGGATGATGTTCTTTTTGCCCGGTTTGTTGCAACTCCCCGAGGCGCCTGCCAAAGGCAGAGCGTTGCAAATTTTGAGCAGTTTGCACGGAATTTCGTGCCGCTTCTGAGTCAGTTTCTGCTTGAATGACAGCAGTTAATTGATTTTGCGCATTCTTTGCAAGAATGACCGTGTGAAGTGCAGGAAAGACGTCTATGACTCTCAAAAGTCAAGCAAGAGAGCGATACTGTGTGGTGCGGGGCAGATTAATGACCATATCAGTGCTTTGAAATCATCACAGACTATTGGTTACAAGGGAAATCATTCACTGCTGCAAGTATGTGTTCATTGTTTCCTGGGCCGTATGCGCAAAAGGAAGGCCTTATCCACCCTTCAAGTCCCTTCTCGTTTCGGCCGATTCCTGCAATTGGTAACGTAAGAGGAACGCGGCCACTCCAAAATTTCCCACCTCGGCACATTGAGGTTTCTTTGGTGTAAGGGGTAGAGGTGTAAGGAGAAGAGGGGACCCCAACGTTGCTTTTTGAGTGGAAAGCCACATTTTTGCCAGCATTTGGCTTGGGTAATGTTTGGGAACCCTGACCCTGCAATTACTTCACCTTCGGACCCCAAACCGCCCGGCCAAATCTGCAGCGCCAGGTGTTCTCAGCGGCCCATGCGATGAAAACGTGAGGCGCCCAGAAACGAAGTCAACGAGATTCCGTTCCAGCAGGTTCCAGCCTTGATCCAGGTTTGTTTCATGGAATCCTTGAGCTGAAAGGATCCATCCCCTTGTGGGTTGCTAGCTGCTGGTTGGGAGGAGCTAGCAGAGATTCTGCAAGGACATGTTGGTTCCTTTCGTTCTAAGGTCCATTTCAATGATGGTCATGAGTCATGGTTGACGGGAGTTGCAGGAACCTTGTGTCGGGCGTCCACTGCGATTTGTCTCACTACCCAACGCGAAATGACAGGCCCTGAAACCTAGATTTTTGGGGACCTTTCAACTGAACGTTCATTGGAGTCCCTCGTTTCTTTCCAACTGGTTGGTTGGCAGGGGGTTCTCTTCCTGGACAAGGTTCAGCTGAAGGCAGCGCAACCTTGTTTCTTACTCCTGGTTGTTCGGCCGAGCCAGTAGACTACCCATACAACCCACGACCCGGCAGTAATGGAAACACATACATTGCCTGTGGTTTTCTGCTTGAGCGTGGTTGGTTTACTTGCAATAGTTCGGTGGAGAATGCCCGAAAGATTGCAAGGTGAGTTACCTTCCCACCAAATCACATGCAACCTGACAGGGGGTCTTGGAGGTTCCTGTCAGGTTCCATGCGAATTGGTGGGAGGGTCCGTAAATCCAGGGGGGGTCCTTATTCCCTTGCACAGTTCGCTGGATCCAAAGTTCGATCCGATCCGAGGCATCATTTCGCGCAAGTCGGGGCGACGCGCTGGGCGCAGGACCGCTTCAAGGCCTCGATGGGACTTCCCCCAAGGAAATGCAGTGAGACCTTAGGTGCTTGGAATGGAGCGGAGCTGGGGGTATAGCGGATATCCAAAATGTGCATTTGAAGGAGCCAGGAGTTCTGGTTTGGGACATTTGGTTTTCGCCACATTTCGAAAACCCTTGCCCCAAGGATCCTTCAGGCCTTCAAGCCCCCAGCCCTTGGAAAACTGTCTTGGGGGGTGGCTTGTAGATTCCAAGGGATCCTGGCCACGAGTGTCTGAAGGAAAACGGCTTCCACCATCAGACACGGACTGTGCAAGCCAAAAGTGGCGGAACTTAGACTGGCTTAAGTGTACAGTAGATTCTCACATGCGCACCTTCATGAGCGTTCTGGCTTAGCTTTCAGGGAGCGCTTGACATTCTTGCCTTAACTTATTTCAATGGGGTTTGCATTACACCCCGTTGCACATCGACAGGGAAGGTACATCATCTGAGGGGTGTTTCGGCAAAACTCCTTGGCATGCTGTTCTAGTCTAATTCCATGGTATTCTATGTCGCCCTGTAGGATTATGTGGTGCAACACAGCAGCCCTCAGAGCATTGCAGCGTAGTGGCGATTCGATAAAATGGCGCTTGTTGGTTGCCGCGGGAAGGTTCGATGAGCCAGGTGCTCATCTTCAATTCAACTAGTTTGGGGCTCACCAGGCCCTTTTGATTGGTTCACTTGCCTGTGTCAATAAGGTGAACAAGCAAGACCCAACTTCTCAGTCCAAAACTGGGATTCAGTACTGCCATTGCTTTTCAGGTTCACTGTGGACCAAATTTACGCAGCAAGCAAAGTGCAGAGGCCCCTTTCCGAAAGCAACATCGCCTTGAAAAGGCTGGGAGACTAATCCGTTAAGACTTTGTGTTTGTGTGTGTCGTACTAGCCCCCAACAAGAAAGTTGGGTTGCTTCCAGTTTTCCTTTTTTCTGTTGGGCAATCATGAACAGGTTTAAAACCACCCAACATGGGCACCAACCCATGTTGGCACCAACCCGTCCCCGGGCTCGGGGGGGCGCTTGCGCGCCAGGTTAGGCAAATCCCGAGCTTTGTGGTGGTCGACCCGGCCACGCGTCAGGCAGGGGGCGGGGGGCCTTCTCAGTGGGTGGTTTTGAAGGGAAACGAATCGGAAAACCACCTGATTTTTGAAGCCCCCTAGCAAAAGACACATTTTTAGCACAAAAAAGAAACGGTAAAAGGGCACCTAGCTGGGGGACCTAGCTACTTTAACGCCGCTGCGCCAGCAAAGGCCAAGACAGGACAAGGCTCCGGAACGGTCGTTGGTTGCCCCTACCTGAAAAACGGTTCAAGTGCCAGCATTGAACGCCCAAATTTATTTTAGGACGCAAGCCAAAACGACAATGAAAGGCCAGACTTAGACTCCTACAAGAACTTAGCTTTTGGTTGGTTCATATTCTAGCCTCTCTATTGGAGAGCCTAGGTAGTGTTGGCTGCGGTTCCCCTTTTTGTTGAAGCACCCCATATCTGGCTGTGGGTCAAAACCAATGGTATCATTTTGGGGCCGGCGGAGTGCTTGAGCCAATCTCAGGGCTTCACACCCCAGCCTCAGCTGCTGCGTGCTGGTCTCAGCGCACGCGGCACTTGAGGTTTGTTCGTGCTTCCATTTGGTTAAGATGTATATGCATTATGTGGTTTTCCCCTGTTTATTTACAGGGAATCTATCACTACTGGATACTACTGATATCCATGTTGAATCAACTTTGGAGGAATCCTGTTTGAGGTTCCGTGTAAATTTCATCGCGTCGTTTCCGAAGCCAAGGCCTAAGAGCAAAGTCTGGGAAACCAGGAAGGGGTTGAGTCGTAGGTTTGGCATTGATCTCACCCAAAGGGAGTCCCTCAATTTGAGAAGCTACACCATGATTGAGGAAAGTGTTTGGAAAAACATGCTTGGGGAATCCCATTTCAAGTGAGAGTTACAAAGTCATCGAGGTCTATTGCGTACGGGGGGATCCCACTTATGACAAGGACCCGTTTCCATGTTCCACGTCCTCGATGGTTGAGGCGGGAACTTTCGGGAGCAGATTGCAGAAGCAAGGCGCGACAAGTTCAAATCGTGCAGCTGGCCGAAATCGTGGACCAAGTGGGCGTATCTTATTTTTTAGGGCCCCCCCAAATTGCGGCGGTGTTCTTTGGTTGCCCTTCAATTCTACAAACAACGGGTACCCCAAAAAACGACAGACCCAAACTCAAACCGGCCCCCTTCACAGTGACAATGTAGTCATAGGAAACTTGTAGCAGTAGCTTCCACTACTACACTACGCCACGAAAAGTTAGTTACTTGGAGGGGATCTGAGAGCTCAGTTCCGTCCGGCTCAGTGTTTCAGCGGGTTGCAGGTTTCTGCCTGAGCTCCACCGTGAGTCCTTCGAGCGCTGCAGCTCTGGCAGCTGTGCCTGGGCCCCGGACCCTGGATTCCAAACTGGTTTTCTTCACTCTTCTTGCATCATGTGTTTGTCCTTGTTTAGGATTGGGGCCTGCATTTTGTTTACACAAGGGTTGGAAAGGTTTTGGACCCCCCACAAACCGCGAGGCTTCCTTTTCTTGTTGGTTCCCAGCCATCCTGTGCCTTAGGTGTGTAGTGGTTTCTAGTTGTTTTAGTGGGGCTTTCCATTTAACCCACTGAAAGTTAAACTCTTAGCAGGGGATCTGAGGACAGCCCAGCTTTGGTTTCTCCAATCAACCAATACCACGCGGTACCGAGCCATGCTGTTTTCTTGTTTGAGGCCTGGGTCGCAATCTTCCTGGTGCCACCCGACATGCTGGGCAAGGACGGGCAGGATTTGCCTTGGAAGGGGCCAGGCTTTATCAAGTAATTACTTTCTAGAATCAACGAGTTCGTGGATTTTATTTCTGGGGGAAGACAATTGTAGTTGTAAATAGAAAGTGTGAGTTTAGTTTCCTGTTTAGTTTCCTTCCCAGTGATTTTATTTCACTGGATGAGAATGGTTGGTTACTTACTTACTCTTTGTGTCTCTGCTCGTTTAGTGGGTTGGCTGCAAAAGGGCTTTGTGCCCACATGCCAGGTTGGAGGGTATCCGCTGGTTTCGGTGGTGGCTTGTTTGGGTTGAACCCTGCCAAACATAGTGGTTGGGAGTTTGGGACTTGACGCTGGTCCAAGTGGAAAGTTTCGAGTTTCGAATTGGGCAAAACACAGCTGAAAGGAGCAGAGACGAAGCGAGAGAGAGAGAGAGAGAGAGGGAGAGAGAGAGCGAGGGAGAGAGGCTCAAAGCGAATCGATCTGACCTTTGGTTTCTCTGGTTTGGTGCATTTTAAGTAAAGGTCCCAAAAGATTAACCTTGTATCCTCAGGTCCTTTGGGCAACTGAGTACAGGTTGTGGGCTACAAAGAGCCATGTTGTTTGTTGGCGTGCCATGGGTTGGGAAGATGGACTTTAGACTTTTT